CCCCTCCTGGTGCCACCGTCACTCCAATGTCCCCAAGGCCTTGTGTCCCCTCCTGGTGCCACCATGGCCACGATGTCCCCAAGGCCACCATGGCCCCAATGTCCCCAAGGCCACCAATACCCCGATGTCCCCAAGGCCATCACTGCCCTGATGTCCCCACAGTCGCTGTCACCCCGATGTCACCCTTGGCTTTGTGTCCCTCTCTGGTGCCACCATGGCCTCAATGTCCCCAAGGCCACCACTGACCCAAGGTCCCCTCCTGGTCCCACCATGGCCTCATTGTCCCCAAGGCCACCACCATGGCCCCGATGTCCCCAAGGCCACCACCCCTGCCCCAATGTCCCCACAGTCGCTGCCACCCCAGTGTCACCCTTGGCTTTGTGTCCCCTCCTGGTGCCACCATGGCCTCAATGTCCCCAAGGCCACCGTTGTCACCTCAGTGTCACCTCTGGTCTCGTGTCCTCTTCTGGTGCCACCATCGCCTCAGTGTCCCCAAGGCCACCATCATCTTAGTGTCCCCTCCTGGTGCCACCATGGCCCCGATGTCCCCAAGGCCACCACTGACCCATGGTCCCCAAAGCCACTGTTACCTCAGTGTCCCCTCCTGGTGCCACTGTCTCAGTGTCCCCAAGGCCACCATGGCCCCGATGTCCCCTCCCGGTGCCACCGCTGTCCCCGTGTCCCCTCCCCCAGTGACCAAAATCCCATTTTTTCATCCACTTTTATTCATTGCCTTTGTTGGGGACACTTGGGGACATTCTGGGGACATTTCGGGACATTTGGGGACATTTGGGGGCCATTTGGGGCCATTTGGGGGCCATTTGGGGGCCATTTGGGGACATTTGGGGACACTTTGGGGACATTTGGGGACATTTTGGGGACATTTTGGGGACATTTGGGGACATTTTGGGGACATTTGGGGACATTTGGGGACATTTAGGGCCATTTTGAGGCCATTTTGGGGACACTTGGGGACATTTGGGACATTTGGGGCCATTTGGGGCCATTTTGGGGACACTTGGGGACATTTGGGGACATTTGGGGCCATTTGGGGCCATTTTGGGGACATTTGGGGCCATTTTGGGGACATTTTGGGGACACTTGGGGACATTTGGGGACATTTTGGGGACATTTGGGGACATTTTGGGGACACTTTGGGGACATTTGGGGCCCTCCCAGTTTGTCCCAGTTTGTCACTCACCGTACTGGAATGAACTGGAGGCACCTGGGGGGGAGGGGAGGGGTCAGAAACCAGTACGGACCAGTATGGACCAGTATGGACCAGTATAAACCAGTATGGACCAGTAAAAACCTGTATGGACCAGTATGGACCAGTATAAACCAGTATGGACCAGTATAAACCATAATGGACCGGTATAAACCAGTATAAACCAGTATGGACCGGTATGGACCAGTACGAATCCTCCCTCCCAGTATAAACCAGTATCCCCAGTTTGTCCCAGTCCCTCCCAGTAAGACCCAGTTCCCCCCAGTTCCCTCCCAGTATAACCCAAATCCCTCCCAGTTTGTCCCAGTTCCCTCCCAGTATAAACCAGTCCATCCCAATTCCCTCCCAATTCCCTCCCAGTATCTCCCAGTTCCTTCCCAGTATAACCCAGTCCCTCCCAGTTAATCCCAGTTTATCCCAGTAACCCCAAAACCATCCCAGTTCAGACCAGTTTGTCCCAGTTCCTCCCAGTAACCCCCAAATTCCCTCCCAGTGCCCTCCCAGTATAAATCAGTACCTCCCAGTCCCTTCCAGTCCATCCCAGTTCCTCCCAGTTTGTCCCAGTTCCCTCCCAGTATAACCCAGTTCAATCCCAGTTCAATCCCAGTCCCTTCCCAGTTCCCCCGTCTCCCCCAGTCCCTCCCAGTTCCCTCCCAGTATAAACCAGTATCTCCCAGTCCCTCCCAATCCTCCCTCAGTTCCCTCCCAGTCCATCCCAATTCCCTCCCAGTTCCCTCCCAGTTTGTCCCAGTAACCCCCAAACCATCCCAGTTCCCTCCCAGTATGACCCAGTGCCCTCCCAGTCCACCCCAGTCCCTCCCAGTTCCCTCCCAGTATGACCCAGTCCCTCCCAGTGCCCTCCCAGTATAAACCAGTCCCCTCCCAGTTTGTCCCAATACCCTCCCAGTTCCCTCCCAGTATAAACCAGTCCCTCCCAGTCCATCCCAGTCCCTCCCGGTTCCTCCCAGTTCCCTCCCAGTTTGTCTCTGTCCCCTCCCAGTCCCTCCCAGTATAAACCAGTCCATCCCAGTCCATCCCAATTCCCTCCCAATCCCCTCCCAGTTTGTCCTATCCCCCTCCCAGTATAAACCAGTATCTCCCAGTCCCTCCCAATCCTCCCTCAGTTCCCTCCCAGCTCATCCCAGTTCATCCCAGTTCCCTCCCAGTCTGTCCCAGTCCGTCCCAGTCCCTCCCAGTTTGTCCCAGTACCTCCCAGTATCACCAGTGCCCGCAGCCGCTCTCGCTCCATTCCGTGACCTTTGAGGGAACTGGGACAGACTGGGATGGACTGGGATGGACTGGGATGGAACTGGGATAAACTGGGAGGGAACTGGGAGATACTGGGAGGGACTGGGATGGACTGGGATGGACTGGGATGGACTGGGAGGGACTGGGATGGACTGGGATGGACTGGGAGGGAACTGGGACAGACTGGCGGATATTGGTTTATACTGGGAGGGACTGGGAGGGGATTGAGGGATACTGGGAGGAGGGAATGGGACAGACTGGGACAAACTGGGGGATACTGGGAGGGAACTGGGACAAACTGGGAGGGACTGGGAGGGAATTGAGGGATACTGGGAGGAGGGAATGGGACAGACTGGGACAAACTGGGGGATACTGGGAGGGAACTGGGAAGGGATTGGGACAAACTGGGGGGGGACAGGAGGGGAACTGGGATGAACTGGGGGGGACTGGGAGGGACTGGGAATTACTGGGATGAACTGGGGAGTTACTGGGATGGACTGGGGAGCACTGGGGGGGTTACTGGGAGCTACTGGGATGAACTGGGAAGTTACTGGGGGGTTACTGGGAGTTACTGGGGGGTTACTGGGAGTTACTGGGGGGGTAACTGGGGGTTACTGGGATGAACTGGGATGAACTGGGGCCCCACTCACCTTCCCAGAGCAGCCGCTGGAACTGGAAATGGGGGGGGGGGGGAGGGGGAACTGGGAGGGGGCGGGGCCAATGAAAGAAGGGGCGGGGCCAAGCAAAGAAGGCGTGTGGTCATAGAAGGGGCGTGGTCATAGAAGGGGCGGGGGCAGAGCTGAGGAGGGGCCGGGGAGGGACTGGGACAAACTGGGGCATACTGGGATGGACTGGGAGGGACTGGGACATGCTGGGAGGGGACTGGGGCAAACTCGGACATACTGGAAGTGATACTGGGATGGACTGGGAGGGACTGGGAGCGACTGGGAGTGATACTGGGATGGACTGGTCTGTACTGGGATGGACTGGGAGATACTGGGAGGCACTGGGGCAAACTGGGATGTACTGGGAGCGATATTGTGATGAACTGGAATGTACTGGAGGGTTAAAGGGGCTGTTCCCGCCTCCACCGCCTGCCATTGGCTGACGCTCCCGCCCGTCACTTGCTGAGACCAATCAGCGCCCAGGAAAACGACGCTGGGGCGGGGCCTGGAGGCGGTGCCATTTTAGAAACTTTTAGCCTTCAACTCCCGTCATGCACCGCGGCCCCATGGACGCCTAATGGAGCCGGGCCTACAGCTCCCGTCATGCCCCGCGCTCCCCACAGCGCCGGTTATCGCCTTCCCGTGCCCCATTGTCACCCCCAGACGCTGCGGGACCCCCGGCTGCCCCCCAGAGCTCACCCGGGACCCCCAAACGCCTCCTGGGACCCCCAAACGCCCCAGGGCACACAGAGGCCTCCGAGCGCCGCTTTCGGGCCTACATCTCTCGTCATCCCCTGTGGCCATAGAGCCCCCTCATGGCCGAGTTCCGGTCCTGCCACTCCCGTTCACGTCCCGCGCCCCAAGGAGATGCCTCAGAGCCCTCCAGGTGCCCCCCAAGGGCGCCCCGAGGCCACAGGGTCCCCCCAGGTGCTCTCCCGGACCCCCAAACGCTCTGTCACTGCCACTTCCGGGACTACAGCTCCCATCGTACCCTGCGGCTCCATTAAGCGCCATTAAAGCAGCGCCTCTATCCCCCATGATGCCCCGCGGCCTGATTAAAACAAAGCCTTCATCTCCTGTGATGCACCGCGGCTCTAATAAAGCAGCGCCTACAACTCCCATCATCCTCCGCGCCCCATAGATCCCTATTATATCCGTGCATACAACTCCCATTATACACAAGCCTCCATAGAGCTCTATTATACCCGCGCCTACATCTCCCATCATCCCCCGCACTCCATAGAGCCCCCTTATACACAGGCCTCCAGCTCCCATCATGCCCCGTGCTCCATAGAGCTCATTATACCCGCGCCTCCAACTCCCATCATCCCCTGCGCCCCATAGATCCCTATTATATCCGTGCATACAACTCCCATCATCCCCTGAGCCCTATAGAGCTCTATTATATCCGTGCATACAACTCCCATCATCCCCTGAGCCCTATAGAGCTCTATTATACCCGCGCATACAACTCCCATCCTCCCCCGCGCCCCATAGATCCCTATTATATCCGCGCTTACAACTCCCATCCTCGCCCGCGCCCCATAGAACCCCGTTATAGCCGCGCCTCCAACTCCCATCATGCCCCGCGCCCCCTAGATCTCCATTATACCCGCGCCTCTAACTCCCATCAGCCCCCGCGCCCCACAGATCGCCATTAATTCCTTCCCACACCCCAAAACCCCCCCAAACCAGGAAAAACCCCCTAATTTCTTTGACCACCAACACTCAGACACCTCCGAGCTCCCAAATCCTTTAATATTCGCAGTTTCCCCCTGTTTAACCCCTCCCTTCCATCGAGTTCAGCTCAGCGGGTTTGACTGAGCTCCATCTCCTCCACCGGGGGTTTTTGGGGTCCCTCAGAGCACGGTCCGGCCCCGCTGGATGGGCAGGACCCCGAATCTCCGTTTCAGGGCCAGGCGGTGCCGCGAGAATTTGTCATCGGGGGAGAAGCGGGCGGGGTGGGCCGAGCGTGTGGGGAGCCCGGCCGGGGACACTTTCTGAGGGGAAAATTACACAGAATCCTATAAAATCCCACAAAATCCCACAAATTATCCCAAACCCCCCCTCAGGGCAAGCAAACTTCCCCAAAATCCCCCCAAAATCCTTAAAATTCCCCCCCCCCAAATTCCTCTCCTCAGGACACCCGAAATTTCCCGCCAAATTCCCCCCCACAGGACACCCCAAAATTCCTCCAAAATCCCAAAACTGCCACCTCAGGACAGTCAAAATCCCACAAATTGCCCCCAAATGCCCCAAATTCCCCCTAAAAATCCTCAAATTCGCCCAAAATCGTCCAGATTCCCCCCTCAGAGTCCCCCCAAATCCCCCTAATTCCCCCCTCAAATTCCCCCCAAAATCTCTCCAACTGCCCCTCAGGACACCCAAAATTCCCAGATTCCCCCAAAATCCCCAAATTTCCCCTCAGGACACCCAAAATCTCCCAAAATGCCCCATATTCCCCCAAATTCCCCAATTTCCCCAAAATCTCCCAAATTCCCCCCTCAGGATCCCCCAAATTGCCCCAAAATCCACAAACTGCCCCTCAGGACACCACAAAATTCCTCCAAAATCCCAAAACTGCCACCTCAGGACACTCAAAATCCCACAAATTCCCCCCAAAATGCCCCAGATTCCCCTCAAAATCCCCAAATTTCCCCTCAGGACACCCAAAATCTCCCAAAATGCCCCAAATTCCCCCCTCAGGACATCTAAAATCCCTCAAGTTCCCCCAAAATCTCCAAATTCCCCCAAATTCACCCTAAATTTCCCCCCTCAGGACACCCAAAATCTCCCAAAATGCCCCAATTTCCCCCAAATGCCCCAATTTCCCCAAAATCTCCCAAATCTTCCCCTCAGGATCCCCCAAAATTCCCCAAAATCCACAATTTCCCCCACAGGACACCCAAAATGCCGCAAATTCCCCCCAAATCCACCAAATTCCCCCAAAATTTGCCAAATTTCTCCAATTATCCCCTGAGGACTCCCAAATTCCCCCCAAATTCTCCAAAATAACCCAAATTTCCCCTCAGGACAACAAAAATCTCCCAAATTCCTCTCAAATCCCCCAAATTTCCCCAAAATCCCTCAAATTCCCCCCTCAGGACACCCAAAATGCCCCAAATTCTCCAAATTGCCCCAAATTCCTCCCTCAGGAAACCAAAAATCCCCCAAAATGCCCCAAATTCCCCCTCAGGATGCCCCAAATTTTACAAATTGCCCCAAATCCTTCAAAATCTCCCAAATCCTCTAATTTCCCTCAAATTCCCCCTCAGGACATCAAAAATCCTCCAAAATTCCCCAGATTCTCCCCCAAATTCCTCCAAAAATTCCCCAAATTCCCCCTCAGGACACCCCAAAATCCACAAATCTCCCCAACATTCCCCTCTAAGGACACCTAAAATCCCTGATATTCCCCCAAAATCTCCCAAATTCCCCCCTCAGGATCCCCGAAAATGCCCCAAAATCCACAAACTGTCCCCTCAGGACACCCAAAATGCCCCAAAATTCCCACTCAGAATGCCCAAAATCCTCCAAATTCCCCCCAAATCCCTCAAAATGCCCCAAATTCCTCCCAAAATTCTCTAAATTCCCTCAAATTCCCCCTCAGAACAACAAAAATCCTCCAAAATTCCCCCAAATTCCTCCAAAAATCCCCAAATTTCCCCTCAGGACACCCAAAATCCACAAAAATCCCCCAAAAATCCCCAAATTTCCCCTCAGGACACCCAAAATCCACAAAAATCTCCCTAAATTCCCCCAAATTCCCCTCTAAGGACACCTAAAATCCCTCAAATTCCCCCAAAATCTCCCAAATTTCCCCTCAGGACACCCCAAATTCTCCCAAATCCCCTCAAATTCCCCCCTCAGGACACCTAAAATCCCCCCAAATGCCCCAAATCCCCAAATTTCCCCAAAATCTCCCAAATTCCCCCCTCAGGACACCCAAATTCCCCAAAAATGCCCCCAATTCCCCCTCCGGACACCTAAAATCCCCCAAATTCCACCCAAAATCTCCAAATTTTCCCAAATTCCCTCTCAGGAGAACAAAAATCCCCCAAATTCCTCTCAAATTCCCCCTCAGGACACCCAAATTCCACCCAAATCCTCCAAAATGCCCCAAATTTCCCCAAAATTCCCTCTCAGAATACTCAAATTCTCCCAAATCCCCTCAAATTCGCCTCTCAGGACACCCCAAATCCAAAAAAAATCTCCACAAGATTCCCCAAATTCCCCCAAATTTTCTCAAAATCCCCCAAATTCCCCCCAAACTCCCTCAAAATTCTCTAAATATCCTCAATTTCCCCCTCAGGACATCAAAAACCCTCCAAAATTCCCCAGATTCTCCCTCAAATTCCTCCAAAAATCCCCCAAATTCCCCCTCAGGACACCCAAAATCCACAAATCTCCCAAAATTCCCCAAATCCCCCAATTTCCCCAAAATCTCCCAAATTCCCCCCTCAGGATCCCCCAAATTGCCCCAAAATCTATAAATTGCCCCTCAGGACACCCAAAATCGCACAAATTCCCCCCAAAATCCCCAAATTCCCCCTTAAGACACCCAAATTCCCATAAATTCCCCCCAAAATCCCTCAAATTCCCCCTCAGGAAACCAAAAATTCCCCAGATTTCCCCCAAATTCTCTCAAAAATCCACGCTCAGGACACCCAGAATGTCTCAATTTCCCCCAAAATCCCCAAATTCCCCCCTCAGGACACCCAAATACTCCAAGATCCCCCAAAATTCCCTCTCAGAACACCCCAATTCTCCCAAATTCCTCAAATTCCCCCTCAGGACACCCAAAATCCCCCAAATTCCTCCCAAACTTCCACAAATTCCCTCAAAATCCTCAAAATTTCTCCCCAGATCCCCCAAATCCCTCAAAATTCCCCCAAATTCCCCCCTTGGGACACCCAAATTCCCCCAAAATTCCCCCTCAGGAAACCCAAAATCCCCAAAATTCCCCAAAATAACCCAAATTCCCCCATCAGGACGACAAAAATCCCCCAAATTCCTCTCAAATCCCCCAAAATTCCCTCTCAGAACCCCCAAATTCTCCCAAATCCCCCCCTCAGGACACCTAAAATCCCTCAAAATGCCCAAAGTCCCCAAATTCACCCCAAACTCCCCCTCAGAACATCCAAAATTGCCCAAATTCTCCCTCAGAACACCCAAACTCCCCAAAAATTCCCCAAATTTCCCCCTCAGGATGCCCAAGTTCCCCCCAAAATCCTCCAGATTCCCATAAACTCCACCAAATTTCCCTAATATTCCCCTAATTTCCCCAAAATTTCCCAAATTCCCTCCTCAGGACAACCTAAATCCCACTAAAAAACCCCTTAGGACACCCAAATTCCCTCAAATTCCCCCCAAAATTCCCCCTCAGGATGCCCCAAATCCCCCAAATTCTCCCCAAATGCCCCAAATTCTTCCCCAAATTCCCCCCTCAAGACATCCAAACTCCCCCAAAATCCCCCTCAGGACACCCAAAGTCCCTCAAATTCCCCCAAAATCCCCTCAAATTCCCCCTCAGGACACCCCAAAACCCCTCAAAATCCTCCAAAACCCTCCCACATTCCCTCAAATTCCCCAAAATCCCCCGAATTATCCCTCAGGACACCCCAAATCCCCCCCAAAATCCTCCAAATTTCCTCCTCAGGACACCCAAATTCCCATGAATTCCCCCCGAATTCCCCCAAAATTCCCCTCTCAGGAAACCCAAACTTCCCCAAAATGCCTCAAACTCCCCCAAATTCCCCCTCAGGACACCCCAAATCCCCCAAATTCTCCAAAATCCCCCAAATTCCCCCCTTGGGACACCAAAATCCCCCACATTCCCATTTTTGACCCCAAACTTCCCACCTGAGTACCCAAACTCCCGTTTTTAGTCCCAAACTTTCCCTTCCTTGACACAAATTCTCCTTTTTCAGTCCCCAGTTTCCCTTTTTGGCCCCAAATTCCCCTTCTTTGGTCCAATTTTTCCCTTTTGTAGACTAAAATTCCCCTTTTTTAGATCCAGACTTCTCACCTGAGCCCCCAAATTCCCCTTTTAGACCAAAATTCTCCTCTTTTGGTACAAATTCACATTTTTTGGACCCAAATCCTCCAATTTTCAGCCCAAATTCTCCATTCATGGCACCAAATCCTCCATTTTTAAACCCAAATTTCCCTTTTTAGAACCAAATTTCCCTTTTTTGGACCCAAATTCCCTCCCCCCCCCTTTTTTTTTTGTTACAAATTTCTCATTTTCGGACCCAAATCTTCCCTTTACTCAACCCAAGCTCTCCATTTTTGAACCAAATTTTCCCCTTTTTAGCCCCAAATTCTCCCTTTCTAGTCCCCATTTCCCCATTTTCAGTCCCGAATTCCCATTATTCATTCCCAAATTCCCCCTTTTTTCTAACAAATTTCCCCTTTTCGCCTCACAACTCCCATCCCTATTGTTATGAACAAAAATTAAGTTGATTTTTTCTGTGAGAAAAAGGTTACCACTGTTGCTGCTGGGGTTCTGCTTGTGTTATGGTAATTACGGGTCGTTGTTGTTAATGGTTGTTTATGTATCAGTAAAAGCCGTGGCTGGGGCGAGTTAATGGCCCTGCTCTGAGACAGTGAAGGGTGGGGACCTCCCGAACAGCGAACAGCGAGGAGAAGAGACTTTGCAGGGGAGGGATGTGCAAATAACTCCAAGGACCAGCATGCTGTGTGGGACCCCCTGCTCCGAATGCACTGAGAAAACCCCAGAAACAACGAGCCACCTAAGAGTTGAGAGATTGGAGTGATGTCTGGATGAGAGGAGCAGAGTGCTGGGCCTGCAGAGATGCTAAAAACCTTCGTTGTTCCTCACCCTGAGTTCGAGAGCCCCCGGGCCAGGTCTGGCAGGAAGTGAGACTGAGACCAATTCAACATCGGAGGGTGTTGATGCCCTAAAGGCTCCCACGAGGACCGGACCTCCAGCTCTGCCCCTGGTGGACAAAGCTGCACATGTCGTCCTCCTCCTCTGAGTCGCCCTGGGAGTGACGACGGGAGACTGCAGCCCCGCCGAGCTGCCCAATCCTGAGCTGATCACTCATAATAAAGGCATTAAAAAGGAGAAGAAGTCTCCTTGCCCTGTTTATTTCAAGCAGCACAAAGTTCCTTGGCAAGAGTCACTCTGCTCCTGACGGGACATTTCAGGCACACCAAGGAAACAAAGCAACAACAAAACCAAACCAAATCCAGGCAATCAAACCATAAATGAACCGAGAACAGTCCCTGTGTGTGTGTGAGACACAAGGACAGTGAGGGCAAGGATAAAAGGAATATGGCCTAAAAGCTTAACAGGCCTCACACTTAACAGGACTTATCTCATACCTTAATTTTAATTGATACAGTCAACTACACAATTTAGCAAAAGAACAGCACTTAACAGTATTTAACCTAATTTAAAACCTATGTTAGAAATTTAACAGAGGAATAAAACTTAACAATATTCAACTTAGCTTATAAGTTATATTTAACATAATGTAGCAAAAGAACAACTCTTAAAAGCATTTGACTTAGCTTAGACCTCATGACTTAACCTTATTTACAGGCCTGACTGAGTCAGCTATCCAAGGCACTCCAACCCCTCAGAGAGCAGCATTTCTGCCACATTTCCCCAGTACAGGCACTCCTGTGTGCACACAGACACAGAGTCAGTGCAAGGCACCTGTGAGCAATTCCCCTGAGGGCAGGGAATGCTCCCTGTGGATCCTTTGGCATCTCCCCAGCAAAGGGTGAAGGGCTGAGCCTGGAGGAGTGGGGGGATCGGCCCAGGCTCTGTCGTTGTTCAGGATCCCCGAGTGCAGCAAACGGGAGAGTTCCCGGCTGGGAGAGGCCCCACTCAGAGGGAGTCGCTGGCCCAGGAGAGCTCCAAGGGCTCCTTTTGGAGCGCTGTGTGCAGGGCCCCAAGAGAGGGGCTACAGTCCCAGCAATGGCTCATCCTGGCCGCACTTGGCACCATCAACTTTCTTTGGCAGTGTGAGAACAGGGATGTTGTGCCGCTGAGGGAACAAAAACAGCTCCCAGGGCTGCTCCTAAAGGAACCAGGAGCTGGTTGGGGAGCAGCAGTGCCTGGAGCAGACAGTGTTTGTGATGAGCTGCAGAGGAGCTGAGCCCAGGGGCTGTTGGCCAAGGCCGAGACCCAAGGCACATTTCTCAGCTGGCAGGGTGGCCTGAGAAGGGGAGGGGGGAATGCAGGAGCACAGGGCCCATGGAACCAAGGGACCATTGTGACACTGTGGGGCCCTGTGAGCCCAAGGGATCATTGTGACACTGTAGGGGCCTGTGAGACCAAGGGACCATTGTGACACTGTGGGACCTCATGGAATCATGGAGACCACTGTGACATTGCTGAGCCTCATGGAACCAAGGGGACTGTCCTGACACTGTGTGGCTACATGAAATGTAGGGTTCATTGTGACACTGAGAGGCGCCATCAAACCAAGGGTGCATTGTGACACTGCCGGGAGTTCTCAAACTGTGGAGACCATTATGACACTTTGGGGTGTCATGGAACCAAGGGACCATTGTGACACTGCAAGACTCCATGGAGCCAAGGGTCCAAACTGTGACATTGCAGGGCCTCATGGAACCGTGGAGAGACCATTAGGACACTTCACAGCCTCATGGAATGAAGGAGACCATTGTGACACTGAGGGGCACCATGGAATCATGGAGACCATTGTGACACTTTGAGGCCCCATGGAATAACCAAAGCATTGTGTCACTGTGAGGCCTCATGGAACCAGTGAGACCACTGGGACCCTGGAGGTCGCCACAGAACCAAGAGGACCATTGTGATACTGTGGGGCCTTGTGAAACCAAGAGGCCTTTGTGACATTGCAGGGCTGCCTGGAACCAAAGGTTCAGTGTGACATTGCAGGCCCTCATGTCATCAATGGTCCATTGTGACACTGTGGAGCCAAAGGAGACCATTGTGACACTACAAACCCCCAGGGTCCAAAGGTCCATTGTGACATTGCAGGGCTCGTGGAACAGAGGAGTCCTGTGACATTGTGGGGCCTGGGGAACCATGGAGACCATTGTGACACTGCAAGGCCTCATGGAATCAGTGGGACCATTGTGACACTTCAGGGCCTTGTGGAACCTAGAGGATATTGTGACACTGCTGGACCCCATGGAAACAAGACATCATTATGGCACTGTGGGGCATCATGGATCCAAGGCACAATTGTGACACTATGGGGCCCCATAAAATCAAGGGGACACAGAAGAGATCTGGCTGGTTTGGCCTCCCAGGGGCCACCTGACTGGTCCAGCTGACCTTGGAACATTAAGAGTCTCTTGTCATCTGCTTCTGAAACACTGTGCTCCGTGTTTTCCTTCCCATTGGAAAATAACTGTTCTTTTCCAGGCACCCATGGCCAGAATTGGGATTTCACCTCCAAATTTCCTTATATCGAGAGATTGTTCCCATAGGAATGTTGCCAGGATAAGTCTGGCTGGCAGTGGTTTCATGAGGGTCACTTCCCATCTGTCCCCAAATAGCGCAGAAGGCTCCGTGCTTTCGTTTCTACGGAAAGAACTGTCCTGCTTCTCCAGGCGCCCATGGCCAAGACTGGCCTTCCACCTCCAAAATTCCTTCAATTCAAAGACTGCTCCCAGACAAAATCTGCCATTACTGACAAGTCTGCCAGGCCTTGGCCTTGTGAGGCTCTCACCTGCTGTCCAAACACTGGGGCTCGCTGCTTTCCTTCCTCTGGAATAGAGCTGTACTTCTCGTCCAGTTGTCCATGGCCAGAATTGGGTTCCACCTCCAGCATTCCCTATTGTGACGGACTGGGGGAGATTGTTGGCTGGAAACCTTTTGTGTGTGGGGGAGGAAGGGGCAGGTCCAGCCTTTCCGTGCCCTATAACCCCAGCCCTGCCCTGCCCTGGAGCCCCAATCCCCCCAGAGCCTCTATCCCAGCCCAGCAGTGGCTGCCAGTCCCTGGCACAGCACAGGCAATGCTCCACAGCCACCTCTGCAGCCCCCAGCCCAGCTCCTGAGGGACCAAATGAGCCCAAGTCCCACCTGGGGTAAGGGCCCAGGGAGACCAAGGGGTATTGAAGGCTGAGCACAAGGCAAGCACACATCTTGTCCCTACCTCCTACTGGAATTTTTATCAGAACATTGCTAGAAACCTGGAGTTGGTAGCTGTGTGTGTGCTCCTCTGTATCTTGTATTTCTTTCTCTCTTTCTGTGTCTTCTTCTCCTTCTAATTCCCTCCTCTTGAAAATTTTGGGTATGTAAAAATTGAACAGGCTTAGATTTTGTGAAATTGAATGGGCCAACTTTATGCTTTGAAAAGTGTTTTTTTTTTATTGAATGTCATACTAAAACTTTTGCCAAAGTTTCTCTGATTTTCTTAAGTTCCCAGTAAAAGATGTCTTATTGTTTTGAGCTCCTGAGAATCTCTTGCTGGTATTTCTCCAGTGAGTCCAACTCAGAGTACACAAACAAGGCAGCCACCAGTGCTGGGCAGAGCAGCTCAGCTCCAGCACAGGGGCTGTGTGTTCCCATCCCATGACCCCGGTGCAGTGACACTGGCAGCACAAAAAGCTCTGGGTTCCTTTGCTTCTGATTGCCAAGGCATGTGTGGAGCTGGAACTTACCAGGGCCCTGGATCAAAGTGTGCCTGTGGCTCTCTCCCTTCTTCTAGGGCAGATGATAATCCTGCATCCAAGGATGACAGAACAGGTCTTCTAATGAGGGCCTTTCCAAGTCCAGCATGGATAAACACCGTCTGATCAGATCTTGGCACTCTGGGCAGAGAAACCAGAAACCACCAGTTAGTTGGAGAAGGCTCCTATTGGCTTTGCCCCACCATTCCCATGCACAGGCCATGCTAGATGTGCTCAAAGCTGGGCCTGAACTTTCCCATCAACTCCCTGTTTGGAGGAGAGCAGGACATTTGCCACCTCCTCAGCAGCTGCCAGTGCAGGATCTTCACGAGCCCACTGCTGTCTCCCAGCACTGGGATTCCCTCCGTGCCCAGAGATGAGGATCCACCTTGAGAGAGCCGTTTTGGCAGCGAGAGCTGATGGTCCCAGCTGATGTTCTGGCCCCTCCTGAAAGGGTGCTCCCCGCAGACCATCTGGTGCAGCAGGATGC